TTAAATTATCAATTTAATATATACTAAATAAAAACTAAATGAATTAAATTTTATTTAATATTAATATCTTATTATAATTATGTAGCAACATTACTTTATGTGGGTCACATCAAGTATGTGGGTCACATAATTTATGTGGATCACATGACTTACGTGGGTCACATCACTTATGTGGGTCACATCAGTTATGTGGGCCACATATCTGTTCGAGCTAAATGTACTGAATAAAAATATGTGGACCACATAATTTTGTGTACCACACAAAATTGGTGTTCCAAACAAATCCCTTTTTGATGACCTTCCACCCCGTTTTTGCACATGAGACCTTTACGTACCCCTACTATATCGAATACGCTGAATCTAAATATCTGGAGAAAATTATATGTTTGATGACTCGTTTATGAGATATGCCAGGATTTGAAGTAATTTCACTTTTTTGCAACCATCCAGGACTCGGATACATTTCAAACTTCGGCAACCCCATCCTACGTGTTAGGGGCATATGTGTACAATTTTTCAGAACAATTGGCAGGCTAGTTTTTGCAGGACCTTGAGATACTAAAAAGATAGTGACCTGTGTAAGCGTACATAGTGGTGCTATGTCCCGTCTCTGGTACATGATCATCGTATGGTTGAATTCCCCATGTGCAAAAACCTAGTCTCCCCAAGTTTCATGTCTGTACGTGCTTTTTGTGAAAGTTTGCATTTTACTGGTTGTTTTGGAATACCCTATTTCCTTAGTTCGGGCGAAATGGACTACACGATGCTTGGCGGTGAGACTACAAAATCCCAGCAAAACGGGCAAATATGGACTACAAGAAACACCCGATAGCTGTGTATCGGCCGGATTATATGTATAGGCGATCTCTTTCAATCAATTAGCTTAGCAGGATTCTGCCAACCACTCGTTGGCAAACACCTTTCATTTAGAATATCACTTTAGGAGGAAACCCAAACACAAAACATAAACATAAATAACAGTTCTCAATTTTACGGTAAATCGGCTTTTGCTTTCTTATTTAAGTAAATCTATACTTACGAGACGTAAGTATAGTTAATCTAAGTTTAAGCAAACTACGCTTCCTCATACACGTGGGCTAACGTGTAAGCCGAAGTAGTGGGCACACAGTGAGCCCATCTAAGTTTAAGCAAACTACGCTTCCTCATACACGTGGGCTAACATGTAAGCCGAAGTAGTGGGCACACAGTGAGCCCATTCTGGAGTCCGACAGATTTGAGCTCTCGACTAGTTCCAAGCAACGCGCCAACCAAAGTGACGCTTCATTCCGCGAGGCCGTGGGCGCCCTCATGCACTTGATGACCGCGACACGACCGGACATCGCTTTCGCTGTGGGCTATGTGTCGCGCTTCATGGAGAACCCTCAAGTCGAGCACTGGACCGTGGTGAAGCGCATCTTTCGCTATCTACAAGGAACCAAGTCGCATGGCATCTGCTTCAAGCCTGGTGACAAGGTTGACTTTCGCGGATACTCTGACGCAAATTGGGCTGGCGACCACTCCGACCACAAGTCAACTTCGCGCTACACGTTCCTGTTGATGAGCGCACCTGTGAATTGGGGAAGCAAGAAGCAGTCGAGCGTGTCCCTGTCAACGAGCGAGGTGGAGTACATTGCGCTGAGTTTGGCAATTCAAGAAGGCGGTGGATTCACCGCCTACTTTGTGAAAATCTGTTGGCGGCAGGCGAGGTGGGACCCGAGCTCAAGATCCTCGAAGACAATCAGTCGTGCATGAAGATGACCGAGAACCCCGTGAACCATGGACGCGCCAAGCACATCAATATCACCACATTCATGACGAAGTCAAGCGTGGTGAAGTTAAGCTAGAGTACTGCGAGACTTCTGTGATGCTGGCGGGCGTCATGACGAAGACATTGTGAGGACCGCGTCACATGGGCCTCACGACGGCGCTTGGAATCCACGCGTGTACCCATTGAGAGGGCGTATTAAGGGTTACCGGTTCCTAGGGTTTAGGGTTTAAACCCTATCACAGCGCCTAGTGCCTCCATGACTGCGCTATTTTCAGTCATCATGTGTTTGTAGTACATTACCATAAAGCATCCAACATGAAAGCCAAGCCGACAGCGTGTACAAGGGCGCTTGACACGATACCTGTCCTCTCGTAGCGCACACAAACGGCACAGCAGCTTACCACGACTTCTCGTCAGCATATGCTGAGAGGAATCACTTCCAATAATGTCTTCAATTGGCTCCCGATGCCTCGTACTCGACCTGAGCGATTGCACGTGCTGCTGATGCGCGGCCACAAGTCGGCTGGCGATGTCCTCTTTTGCCATTCACACGGATTTGATTGCTCCGTTTGTACGCTCAAGCACTTGATGCATAGCAAAAAGAGTTGTGAATGGCTACATCGAGTAGCCAGGTAAAAATGTTCATACTCAGTCGACGCTCGCGGCGGGGTGTCGGATTGGTGCTTCGCATTTGATCAAACCGATCCACTGCATTCATGAAGATATTGTATGAACACACTAGAATAGGGGTGGTGATAACTGTCCAATTAAGTACCTCTATCCCTGTTCATCGCTGAACGAATCTCATACCGTGGCAATACGCCTCAGGGTATGTAGATTTCCATGCAGTACCTGAAATTCCGTGATTCTTCTTGTGTTTTTTTTCCTGCTCGTTTTCTGGGTTTTGGCTGACCATGGCGCTGGATCCAAAAACCTTGCTTCACACTTATTGGTATGACCACGCCGGCCAAACCATTATTTGTGAAAGAGACTCGTAGTTAACTTCCGTTGCCGCTCTGATTTGATATGTCGATAAGGTCATGTTCACAATGCCTACTATTTGAATCCCGGAATACGCCCGTACCAGATTCAATATTTACGAGCAACTCGATGAACTTGTTTCCACAATTTTGGTCTAATCTAGTGCGTATCTGCTGATAAAAAGAACAACTGCCGAATAGCGGAGATCCTGAAGAGTGTGGGAAACTTTACTAACGCCTCGACCAACTGCGTCGGTGACCTGTTTTTGATACAGTACTGCCATCAAGGCAGTAGCTTCTTTAAGCAAGTCAACAGATCTCCACGTGAGGACTCCAACCAGGCCTTGCATTTTGAATGGGAGCTTTCAACGGAAGAATTATCCCGGTACCCAAAGTACAAGTACCGTGATGCCCAACAGTGTACTGGTTCAGTCTTATATTTCCACCAATATTGGGTCAGACTGGCCGCAAATTTCACACTTGACGATCGCAATTTAGCGCTTCATGTATCGAATTCCGTTTCGGTAGTAGAGTTCACTGCATCATAATGCAGCTCCATCAACTGATCAGTAGCATTCGCGTTTCATATTTATCTTGGCCTGGTGCTGGGGTATCAATTTCAAAAATGACCAAATACTGTTCGAGCGTTAGCTGAAACGTTACGAATCATATGCCAGCGACAATCGAGAGACGGAACGTCTAGAACAGACGATCTAGCGCATTCATGCAGGCTTGATCACGATCGTGATGATGATGGATGGGTAGGAAACATCGTAATCTGTTATCATGGCTTGTAGCTGCTGTAGAGTCCAAACAATATCCTCTTCTGTCTCACTTGCGAGCCACTACTGCGCTACTGGTAAACCCATATTCATGTTGGTCATGGCAATGACGTTCAGCAAAGGAAGGTCGAACATATTAGTCTTGTAAGTACTGCGGCGGGGCTGCCGTAGCTTAGCGTCAGAGGAAGACGGTTAACTCAAAGAGTAAAGGGGTTAACTCAACACCCTAATAAAGGTTAATAGGTCCTTAATATCCGAAGGCACCTACTAACGACAACCTTAATAAAAGGGGACGTTACTCTTTTGTGTTCTAAATCTCAACTGTTTATTTTTCTTTATTGCGGAAAGCCGCCTATGTGGTAAATGTATGTGGTTAACTATCTAACATAGTAAAACCCAATCAAATGCATATCCTGTGGCTCTCGGCCTATGTACTGAGGCCACTGTTAACTCTACGAGTCATGTACTGAGGGTTTGTTAACTCTTCGGGTACTCCGTACCCATGTGTGGAACACACCAGGTGTAAACCCGTGTAACCCCGTTACAAGTACAGTCCATGATTAACACGTTTGAGTTACACTTGTAATACTGATTTATATCAGGATGCGATCAAAAGAGATATCTCAATCTCGGGGTCTCTGAATGTACCTTGTACTTGAAAAAGAAAGTGCGTCTAGACGACTCCTTCAAAACGTGGCTCTGTTCGAGTATCATTAACCAAAGCGAGTCCTTGTGGTTCGCGATACCCTTGGCTATAGTAGATGTGTCTAGGTGAGCTTGTCGAATTGTGTCAACCACAAATGCCGGAGAAATTCCAACCGCACTTCGTGATGCTTTTAAATCTTGGGTAGAAAGGTCCCTCGATACCAATCCCTGCATATCACGGCGTCGCTGCCCCGGATGGATGCTCGGGTTATCTGACGCAGGGTGATTGTGATATTCAGAGCCATCCAAGTGAACACATTTTCATTTTGCCGTACTGTCATTTTCGTCCACTGCTTCAAGACTAGTCTTCATTATATAGCCGATTTTACTAGTTTCGCGCTGTAGACGAGCGCGATCCCCCACGAAGTTTGCGATTGTTCTGGGTGCGGCCATGTTTACTACACTTAAAATCGCGTTGTCAAACTTCGTTGGATTTGTTTTTCTTTCTGTAGCTTTTGACGGCATCAATCATTTGATCTCGATTCCAAGCATGAAGGGCGACTTCAGTTTCTTGATACGAGCGAGAACGCGTTCGGTGAGTGGTGGTATATTGAAGCGAGATGAAGCAGTTGGAGGTAGCGCCATAATAGGTAAATGAAGTTGCTTAAGCAAGTGGTAGCAGTGGCTATTTTTATAATTGAATGTCCTAGACCAAATTTAGAGCGACAATTTAGAAATTGGGGTCTGTACCCATTCTCACGGTTATCATACTCTCGGACTCTGTAACCTCGTACTCCATCCATTTTCCCATGCTCGACTCGCTTCATGATCCAATTGTACGTGTAAAACGAGTGTTCGGGCACGTGGAATGTGCTACTCGACTGCGTGTGTTACGGCAAGTTTTGTATTGAACCCAAGAAGGCAGCCTAAAACGCGCTCCCGAAAATGTGGTCCGAGAAGGATGGAGAGACATGAAAAAGTCGACGAAGGTTCCGAAGACGAGAGTTGAGCTCGCTGCATCAAACCGTAACGCGTCCGACTCGCCAAGAGCAGCAAGGTGATGGAAGTCAACCACCAGGAAGTCTGACAGCGCTGCAGAGCTGGAAGGGTCGCAGGGATGGACGCTGGGTTGCACATCGCCCAACTGGATCTAAATCTACTCGTGCAACAACTGTGGTCACATGACCAAGACAGTACCGATGCTGAAGCGCAGGTCAATGCCTAAAATAACCAGTAAAAGCGCAACAACGACAACAACTTATCGGGAAAACGCGAAGCCGGCGTAGACGGCGACCAGAGAATGACGATTCCTAGCTAACGATGAGTGGGTTAGTTTGCGATAATGGCGACGACATGGATCAAGATTAGAGAATGACGACGCGCACCAACACGAAATCACGCATATTGAAGTACGCGGAGACGATCCAAACCGAGGTAGAGGACGAAACGTTAGTCAAGTGTGCGATGGAGCCGCAGAGCCTGCAGTAAGCTGATATTCAATTGCTGGGTGACGTAGCCGAAGGCAACGTGGGGGGTATGCTGAATAATACGATGACGAAACACTGGAGCTCGTTTGGATGAAAATTGGCATTACATGACTGCAGACGCAACCGAAGAGTACATGAAGCATGCGCATAGGTAATGTAGCTACAACGCGGGGGTAATGGCTGCTACACGATATCTGTGTTTTGATACTGCGTAGGAAAAGAGCAATGAGAAAATGATGAGAAGGATAGGCATGGAGACGATGAACGCTGTATTTGAAGGAGACACCGACGTGAAGCCCAGTGTGGCGTCTGTGAGCATGACGCAGCCAGGGCAAATGATACATCGATGAATGACGATGAACACATTGTGGACCAAGGCATTGCAAGAGTGCGAATGGGCAGAAATCTGGATTACTGCCAGAAAAAAACGTCGAAGAGTGAAGCGAGCGCTGGAGAAACGACATGGTATTGAACGAAAGGTTGCATGATAGGAAGCCGATGAAGCCAAGCTATAGCGAGGGCGCCAACGACAAGTCGAAGACGCCGTGAGACGGCTCAAAGAGCGTCAACAAGGACAAAATGGTGTGGACTCGCAACGTGAAGGCGGGACGGGCCAACATCGTACAACGTTGACAAGTAGGACCCAAAGCCGAGGAACCCGACGTAGAAGCTAACGATGAACTACCTATAACAAGGATGAAAATCGACGGTGTGTCGAGATACGTTAAACTCGACAGTGAGCAAGGTGTACGATCTATGGCATTAAAGGGTGCTATTTATTATTAAGTAATTTTTCCTTATTCCTGAGTAACGTTTTTTTTTTTCTAACTTCTGAGTAAAAAGCTGAGTTTTGAGGACAGCATAGCACTCGTTTCTACCCAACCTTAATGTTGAGGAAATAATGTTGGTCCATTGCAGTGTAATGCCTGTGACCACGCTGCGCGAGCTGACCGCCTATAGTGGGTTGGAGATCGCCACAAACCTGTGTCCGTTGAATCGTCTACGTGATTATTAATCAGCAAGCGTTCTATATAGCCACACGTTCTTCAAAACTACAATGCAGCGCGACCTGCTCCATTGCATACGAGCAACTGTGCCTTTACATCCAGTAGACACTGTATCTGAAGAAGTCAAAATTAGGGACCCCCGTGGCATTTTCCGAGCTTGTTGAACAACATTTAGAAGTAGTGTGCTACTTTTGCCGTTCCAAATGGCGTCTCTGCTCTGAATAAAAGCTCAATCCGAATCGAAGCTCGGTCTGTAGCGCGTACTTATATCCCCTCGAAGCCGGACAAATATGATGTTCGTTTTTACGCATTGGTCGATTGGAAAACGCTGTATGTACATGGTTTGTTTGATAATGGCAGTGGTAATACTACTGTCGCCGGGCACCTAGAGCGCTACTCGTCACTGTTTCCCGAGCTACGAAGGCTGATGACAACAAGATGTGATGGCCGTAAACTAGATTCAAAGAGCCCAACCGCTCTTTGGATGGTTATGTTTGTTCTTCAGAGTTAGCAACTCCCTTCCCCGAGCGGCAAACGGGTCGTTGTAATGGATTCGTCCTGCACAAGGCATGCTTTTGCTACGCATGTTTTAGCCATGACTTCCGGTGAAACACTAATTGGAGCATGTAGACTTAAACTTCGTGGACAGTTTATCTTGGTCCGGTGTTGAAGCTGCTATTGTGGAGTGGGATAACGCCGAGTGGGGATGTTGGAAGGTAGTTGCTGCTATTCATACTGCTGAAAATCTGAAGGAGCCTGAAGAGGCTCACAAGCAGAGTCAAAAAAGATTGTCAACGGCACAAAAAAACGCCGTTCATTCTTGCGCTTCCATAAGGAACATCTTCAGAAAGTGTAGCAGCCAAGTCATTGGTGTAAAAGACTACCACTTTCTTGTCGCAGAATACGATGTGAAGAACGGCATCGTAGTGAAAATCGAGTTAAAAACAAAATCAAAATCCATTTTTCAGTTAATATGAATATTACAATGAAAACTGGTGAATTCGCTGAATTTATCTAAAAAAATAATATCGAGTTTATGTATAAGTTTGCATACTATCTTGTCCATTTTTATAAATCAGTATGGCCTATGTCCCGCGTATCCCCAAATTCTATGAGGTTGGTAGTTTTGAAGGAACGGTTGGTCAAGGCTGCTGTCTGATTGCGCGTTGATGTTCGAGTTTTAATTCACCTTTGTTATGAGAGACGGAAGTTGCAGGGTAAGAGGTGAAGCGATACGGACAGGGGCCGTACTAGTGATGAGCAGCTATGTAAGAGTAATATTCGAGTTTGGCGTTTGGAATTTTTCAGTTGTGCCTAACACTGTAAGACAACTTTTGGTCAATTCAGATTGATTTTGGTGTTTCAGACAGTTTTCTGTGCGATTAAGATCACTTTACGTGAAGTTACGTGCCGTTTCGGTTACAATAAAATCGACTTTTGTGGTGTACAATTATTACATATGCATTTCGCTTCGATACTAATATCTGACCAAAAATGCAACTTTTCTGCTAGATTTAGAATTCCAAAACGACCATATAAATAACGGCAGCACAAAAAGAAACTCATCGTTTAGAGATTAAGGGTCTGTCGACGGGCGTTTAATTGAGCCTCTGTTGCCGCTAGAGGGTCAACCTTGGCACCAGGAATAATGGCTAGAAGAACCTTGGCAACCTTGCTCAGCGGATCACTGGGCAGTGAGACTTCCCTCTTTCGACGAAGGTAGTAGCCAAAGCTTTGTCGTTTTTTTTTTTTAATTGCGCTTTTTTTGAAAGCCTTCTCGGTTCTGCTTCACTTGAACCTCTTTTTGTGATGCCTCTTCTTCGAGTACGGCGATGCAAATATGTGTTTGCACGTATTATGTTGCCTAGTAGCAATATAGTTGCCGGTGCAGAGAGTATTAGCGTTCGCTTTGGTTGCCGCCATTGGAGAATTGGAGAATGGCAACCAAGCCATCCTTACTAGTGTGATCAACTCACCCTGGTAGATTTTAGTATATCATTCGGTGACCTGCCACCTTGGCGCTTGGCATTGCTCCACCACAACAACAAGTAAGCCTTTAGGTATGGGTTTGGTGTGGATGTAACTTCGGAGGTTTTGCTCTTCAGTTAAACACAAGGGCGTATATGTGTCACACTATTTTCAAACCTACCATTAAACGTATATGCAGTTTCGAGTCATGTTCCACCGTAAAATAGCTTAGTTGCTATTTGGCTATCTTGTTGAATCTTGCCACAGATGCGGACGACCGACTGTAGCTCCAAAATGTGTCACTGAAAAAATATTCTCTGTGACATACAGCCGGCAACCCACTCCTGCAGCACTTGCGCCATTTCACATCCAGGGGATGGCTCAGTAGCCTATCCATTTTGCTTGGGTAATACCTTACACCAAATTCGACAGTACATTGATATACAGAATGGCAGAGGTTGCACGACTGTGTTTCACTTGAATAGTAGGACCAGTATGATTATCGATGGATATTCGGTCTTGACGTTTTGGAATTCTGATCAGAGTTACTTTCTATTGGCATACCACTCTCATCTTTTGGCATATTACTGTACGTAGCAGAAACGCATTTTAGATATTGACTGTAGAATTCGCTATACCAAGAGAATTTGGGTGGACATTTGTAATACTCCTTTTGCTCCTGGATTCATTTAGATGGATGGTGTCAAGGCGCAATACATTGGATGCGTGACTGAGCTACCATATTCTACAGTCCTGAAGTGCTGATGTCATGTTACCCAGAATGTCTCTAAATATGCAACAGCAAACCAAGTGCTCGATTTGAGGATTTATACGGTATGCACTTGCACCTCGTAATGATATTAATACCACCAAAGAACGTACAATCGCACAGTGAAGTGATTTGACAGAGGGTTCGGTAATTCACAAATTAACAGATCATGTGCTTAAGCAATGAGTGGATTTCCACGATTTCCAAATGACAAGCCTTCTAAACTACGAAGCATATGCTGCTACTAACAACCCTTTAGAGCAGTATCACCGCAGATTTACACTGGATTGTCCAGATTGTCCACAGGCACCAGACGAGCTGATTAAAGGGCTGGATAGAGCACGTCTGGTCTTTCTTTACAGCGACGTACCATGGTATGATTTCTGTACACCTTCAAAATGATTGATGCTGTTGTATCGGCTATTGTGCGATGCATTGTGGGGCACCGTCTATCATCATATTGATTTGTGCAAGCAGATCCCTACAGAGTTATGCATCTTCCACTCCATCACACCGTTACGGAAAAAAAGTCAGTAAAGCAGTCGATGAGGTCGGAAAATGCAATGCAAAAGTAGCTTGAGGTTATGCCTGCTACAGTGTGGGGCACTGGCTTGTTCCGTTCAGTTGCTTGTCGCCTAGAACGCGAACTTGCTGAGGCACCTTCAACGTCACTTGAGCCGTCCTTGCGTTTCCCCGCCTGCTTGAACTCCGTCGGACCAGTAGCCTCATTGTCGTTGATCTCGAGGGAATCGAAGTCCAGGTCAGCATCTTCATCATCACTTGAGGGTCGTGGACACACGTAGAGTAGCATATTTATGCTTGTATTTTAAAAAGGGCGGTGCCTTCTGTCATCTTGTCCCTGTGTGCATTGAAGTCGGGGTCCACATGCCCGGTGTACTCAGCAATACTAAACATTTTGTGCAGCCTCGTCGCAGAGACGTGGCATGCTAGCTGTATCTCCTAGAATGAGGAAGAGAGGAGGTTATAGAATCACATTGCAAAAACGGTGACACAAACAGTTGATACCTACTCTTCTTTGCACGAACCTCTAAAAAAGGGTGGGTTTGCGTGCTGTTGCCACGAAAGGGTTATTGTTGGTCCCTTGTCTTTTGGAATGTCCACTAGCCACGTGCGTTCTGTTCGATCTGTCGTTGGTATGACACGTTGCAGGTCCCGATGTCACCGTTTTTTTTACGTGCTCAATGTGTTTTCTCATTCTTCGCAGCTTTAGGGTTCTTGCCGCAGTACCGAGGATGTTGGCGATAAGTATTCGAGTCTTCCTCCTTTAGATCGCAGTGTTGGCAGGTAAAATGGGGAGGAACCATGTTGGCACGATATGGGGCTTGAAGCAAAATCAATAAGTAGCAGAGAATGTGATAATTAACAACCTCGTACGCCACTGTGGTGAGGATTACAAATCCTCAAGGAAAACGACACAAAACCCCACAGAAATGGTTAGGATTCGCGCTTCAGTCTCGTCCTTAACGTATGGACGCCCGTCGTATACACGGAGCCTAGTCCCCTCCCCCAAAGCGACATCATATTTGCTGGTACCTTGTTCTTCTACTTAGCGGATTCGATATCCCCGGTAGTATAACCTTTGTGGCTTTCTTGTTCCACGCCGGGTATGGGTCGCATGATAAAAAAAAATGTGGGGGTCCATGAACGGGTCCAAACATGCGGTGTCAGCCTTCGGTGCTAGCTTCAATTCGCCAATCACACCAGACGCCTACTTTACGCGGGATTGCTCGCGATATTTGTCTTTGGCTTTCCCTCGAAGTGTTGAGAATACGCTTGCGTCCGTGCGTGACACTTCAGGTTGCAGAGGTAAAAGTGATTCCGGTGAGAGCCCTTGGTACACGACTAGGTAACCACATTTAGGCAGGGCGAGCTTTGGTTTGGACGATATGTAGATAATGGTGTCAAAGGCAGTGACGGGCGCGTGTCTCAACTACTTGATTTTAGCATACTAAAATTAATTATGATTATGCAACGGACACGCCTCGATGAGATAGACGCACTTGCATTACACTATTTCATTGTATAATAAAAACCTTCTGTTGAAAAAGAACGATGCCTGTCGTTTTTGTAAAATGCCCTCACGGGAAGCCTCCTTACTGCGACCCTACATATGCACCAGCACGATTAAATGCTCTTTCGGGAAAATTAAGTATGATGTGAAAGTATGTATATTTAGTTTTGATAAATCGGTAAATACTTTGTTATGGTCCCTTTCCAATCCGGGACAACACGCGACATGTGGCGGAGATGTGAGGGTACTGCTTCGTTGTCAGATTCGAAGATCGAGAAACGCTTTCGATTGAAGAACTTGCTGTCACGTCACGTGCACCAATAAGTACAAGTGTAAATCAGAGAGTGGTCCAACGACTGCGTCCCGCAAGAAGTCTCCTTTTTTGAGAAGAAGAGCTAGTTAAACTGGAAGACTTGGTCGTCGGTAGATCAGTTAACAAGCAAAGTCAGTATAATATAGAGTCCTAATTGGTTGGCTTCCAGACTACTTCTTGACGGATCCCCCCCCCCTTTCCTCTTTCTCACAATACTTACCAACTCGACGATCGTGCTCAATTTTGCTGCTTCTTCCAAGAACTCCATGTGCGCACCAGATGCTGGGAAGCCACCTTCCTAACTCACTGTAGAAGCCTTGGAGCCCAGCCGCTCCTTCGCCGCTCTCCGCACACGCTCGCAGACGCCATGTTTGTTGTTCTTACCAACGCGGTTTGGCTTTAGTGTCATTAGCTTTAGGTCCGTAACTGCAAATGCATGCCTCCATGATTGCTGGTGTCTTAATCCAAACTCTTCCAGTAGCCGTCGCGTGCAGTCGCTCCGATATGTGATTCTGCGCTAGCTCATCATCTTGAACTTGTCGACCCAGCACTTCGCCGGTTCATCATGGCGTACGGCTTATACCTCTGTGGTGAAGTGGCAGTTGGCTTCGGGGAGCAAGGGACTGATTGATGGAATGTGACTCGATCCAGTCTCCGGACTCATTGTCGACGACGACGCGTCAAATGATTACGTAATCACCTGTGATGATTGCGTAATCGTCTGTGTAGATCGACATGGTGCAATCATTCCGATATGCGATCTACCTCCAAGGAGTCGATCTACTGTTGACACATCAACTGATTTGTATCCATGCTGGACTCCATTCAGCGGTACCTGTTGGACAATAATTTGAGGTCTCTGTAACGGTTGGAGGGACTCGTGGTTAGCTCCGGCGATCGTTTGGGCGCTGAGCGGAGACCTGGGAAGGACGAACGGCTGTTTGAGTGTCTGTCGGAAACCAACGCGATTCCCCACGGATTCCAGCTCACTTGATAATTGTATGTTTGATTAAGATTGCATATTAAGATTGGTCCGACAGGACAACACAAATACAGTGACCGATGTTTTTTCCTCCTTCAAACAAACAGAGCGGATTCTGGGCTTCAAGGTTAGATTCTGGATAAGCTTAGCTAGGCGTGTTCGAACTTTGAAGCTACCCATGCTCCAATTACAGCAGAAACGTGTACACCATTTAAACCGGAGATCCGTACTTCATATCTTGAGATGTCATGGTTAAATTTCAGTCATGTTCTCAACAATGGCATAGGAGTTTGAAGTGTGGAACTTCCAGCGATTAGAGTCAATCACATTTGACAAAGTTAACTGCTCGAAGGCCACTTACCGGTCCGGATATTGCTAGCCCGAATGTTAATCATGATTTTGTACTATCTGAGACATGCCAGTTGCCGTACCAGCATATGTTCAGCTGAGTTACTGTGAAGCCACGATTGCAACCTCGGCTTCCTCATGTTTCGTGATGTCAACTTCAACGCTGCTACAGCATCCGTCAATGTCTAGCCCACAATCCTAACGGGTAATTATATCGCCACCGTGACAAACGAAATAGACCGCAACTGAATTGGATAATCTAAACCAGTCCAAAATTGTCTATAAGAACATGGAAGTCATAGGGTTAATCCTAGTGTATTTTGTGAGAATGATTTAGGACTGTGTGCTCTCCTAAATCAATGTGATAACCGACCGACCGCACCTTTGGCGGGTAATACAGTCGCCCGTTTTCGTCGCATACGAGCACAATTAGCATCACTGAGTTTAGTTGTCTTCGGTTGCTATACCGATTGCCATCACCCTTCCATTCGCAATTTCTGGCGGGAACTAAGAAATCCATACTTCCTTTCGAAAGGTATGAACATTGACAGTAGTATGTCCCTGGCAACCCCGCAAGAGTGCCTTTTCCGATGTTTATCTCTTGATCTCAAATTTCATTGCTAAATGCCCGCATATTTTGGCAGGGACGATAGCTCTCTCGACCTCCGCAGCAACGCTTTATTTCCTACTGATTTAGTTTTGCCTTTGGTCCCTTCAATACACCTCGGCTAGGGATTATTTTTTGCAAACTGCCACGTCGCGTGATACGCGTTGGTCTGCACCTCCATCTTACATGAACATTGGCGGTAGCGTGCTGTTGAAATCGAACAGATGGGCCGGCCAAACGGAAAACAAATGGCAACGTACTGAAAACTTGGGTATACGTTTGGACAGTGTAAGAATGGTAACAAGATCTGAATACTCCTGCAGCGGCTGTACGATCTCCGCTTTAATTATAGAATTGATTCAACACCGCAAATAAAAGATGTCGACGAGGCAGATGTAACTGCTATCGATTTGGGTAGCGTGTACAATCGTTATCAAGTTCCACGGTAAAGGTACGAATCTGGTTACTTTCTTTTTGTTATTTTGCACCTACGTTCGTACTTATTCGGTCGTCGTCTGGCTCCTCCAAAGCTGATCAATAGGTCATTCACAAAGCAACTGTCTATGTACATCAGCAAACGATGTACACGTGGCAGCTCCCCAGACCTGGTTATCAAGGATGGGGTTAGAGTGAGGTACACTATATGATCTGCAGTTACCTCTCTAACGTGATGGAGGTAATGTGCGACGTAGAGACCAGCGTCCTCTGGTGCATGGACGTGGGTCTCATCGACAATCAGAAGTCGTCCCCAAACTGTGGAAGCCCCCATGAAGCCTTCCGCCTCGGAAGCGTTGACGGTGGTCGCGCAGGGCGATGCATGACGATGGAAAGGAAGAATCCATTGGCATACTTACATGCTCTTTTTTTAACGAGGGCAATCTTAAGCTACATCGCGCGGTTCGTCTCCTCGTGACGTGGTGCATGCGGCTCTCTCAAGTACAAGCGATGGGGATGGCCGAGGTGTGCGAAGATAAAATGTGCGACTAGTAAGCGTACTGCCGCTCGACGTGCCCCAAGGAACTCATCAAGGCCGAGGTTAACCCCTTGCTTCCCGCCCCATATTCTGTATTATACAGAATACAAAGTAGACTTTAGTAAAGTATGGTGGCTCAGGCTGGAAAAATATTGGGGTACAAGCCCTCTTCGCCAATAGAGGGGGCATTTGTCCTCTTCTTACAATTCTGAAGTATAAACAATGCAATTGAAGCGATGTTATGAAAACCATTTGGTAAAATCTGACGACGTAATTGGCTCTCGGTGATCTTCGATGATGATGAAAACCTCCGCTACAATAATAACTGTCAAATCTGCTAGTAGCGCTGCGTAGGGATGGCTGGTCGACAGAAGAGCAGGCAGAACGCAGAGGAAAAATTTGGCCAGTTCCTAGCTTGGAGAGGTAGCGGAAGGAACTGGGCAATTCTTCCTTTTGCGGGGGCTTTCATGCCGTCCGGAGTGAGCGATCTGGCTATCGGGTTAGCCACTCTGTCATACAAGAGCGATGCTAGTGGTGTAGCAACTGGAGAGTGAGTCTAAAGAACATCGACGTAAGATGCGTAAGTGAATGAACCATGCAGCAAATGGCTAGTCACTTAGTTCTCCTTACTCTCCTCGTTCTCCTCACCCCCCCCCTCATTCTCCTTACTCTCTTCGTTGTTCGTCTCAGACCGCTTGCGCTTTTTCCCCCTGAAGCGAATTTGGTGGGGGAGTGCTGGAATGTTTCGGCCATCATTCCACACGTCGTGCCAAATCTGAGCGCAAGAGAGAGTATTTCCCTCCTCCAAGCGACGCACTTTGGGGCATAGCGGCACACGTCCACCAAAATAGTCGCTGCATGTAGGACAGAAGTAACTGGTTTCGAACGACTTCCCGCTTGTGTGAGCAGAGCATACCTTGCATAGATACTGGCGACGCTTTGACTGGGTGTCCGACTCGTAGCGGTTGCTTGTGTTGGCCAGGGCATGGTCGCCGCGGGTCACTGGTCCTGACACCAAGTCTTCGGCGACGGGGTGGGAATCAAAATGTATGTCTCGCAGTGCTAGGAGATCCTTGTGTAGTCGACGTAAGTAGCTGGCGTGTGGAGTAGATCTCTCGTCGTTTTGCCTCTTTGCAATGTTGTGCACGATCAGCCCGTTCACCAAAGCCATGTCAACAATACCAAGAAAGAGCTGCTTGTAATATTTCTTGAAAGCCACGCACTTCTGCAGGGAATATCGCTCCAACCGCAGCTGGTCGTGGACGTCAACGCCGCTCATACCATCGGCGTAGTCCACAACCAGCTGTGGACACGGCGTCACCGTGATGGAGCCGTCCTTCTCCCTCCGGTTGACGGTTGTTTGATGTGTGCTACACCCTGTGGCGATCATGTTGACCGGCTTTGAGTCCATCCAGGCGAGCGCTACCAAGTATGGATACTGCGTGAATGGGCAATGCGATACTGACCCCTTGGCATTTTTTTGGTCTTTTTTTTTTTGGCTGTACTCGATGTCAGAGCACCAGCCAAGACGCGCCTTCCGGACAGTTCCAACGTGATACAGGCCCATGTTGTGCAGTTTGATGGATGGCTGGATAGACGAGTAGTAGTTGTCGGTAATGACCAGCCGTTTGTATGGCTGCCCACGAAGCACCTTGGTGATGTTCCGTACAACAGATTTGGGTCCCACGTTCTGCTCCTTCTTGCCTTCTCTCTTCTTTCCACAATACACTTCAACACTATTCAGGGCAATACAGAATAATAAAATATTCATTAGTTCGTGTGGATGTTATACAGCATAGCGTATTACGGATAATACAGAATAGGTCACATTACCTAGCACAATACGCGGTCTCCGCACAGCACGTCAGGTAAAACTTGGTTCCCCACTTGGAAGGCTTATCCTTCATGTACACCTTGATTGGGTTGAACCGCGAGCGGTTCGGCACCATGCCCTCGTCGAAGGAGATGCAGCGTCCAAGCCGATATCCTCGGCGAAACGTTTTCTCTACTGCTTGCAACACGGGCCGGATTTTCCACGCCTTGTCGTGCGCAGCCTCCGCCATCTCGTTGTCGTTGAAGTGGAGAAATCGTGTGATCGCCTCGAAGCGTGCGCGCTTCATGTACCTGGAGAAGGTACCCCGGGGTACTGCACTGTCTTCTGCCGTTGCCCGGTGCTTTGCTAAGCCGTCGCGAACTGGAGCAATGGCTCGCGCCATCAATAGCCCCACAACGTGAACAATCTCGTGAGGCTTGATGGGCTTGAAGCGGCGGAGATCCGCCTCGATTTCTGCTAGCGGTGGTACTGACTTTCTGGGATCCTGAAGTTGTTGACTGAGCAAGGCTTCACGGCGACGTTGCGCTAGTTCTGGTATCAGCTGTGAGCGGTACCGATTGGACTCCTCAGCAATACGAATCCATAACTTCTTGGGCAAGAAATAGAAAAACAGCCCAAGCGGAGAATCTGCAAAAGCCAGCGCTGATCGTGTCGGGCCCGATGGTCCATCGTAATAGTCCGCTGCGGCACTCAGTTGCAGTTCACCTACGTAAAATGACATACAGAATTAATATTGGATGTGACATGGTATTCTGTATAATACAGACTTACCACAGTGATCAGCATCATACGTTGTCCAGCCGCTGGCTGTCAGCTCTCGCAACTCCTCCTCTGTGGTCTCAAAGGTAGGTTCCACTTCATCCTCCCCAGAGCTGGCCTCGCTGCTGTCGTAGCCGCTCTCTTCACCATCGTCACTGCTCATCAGCGCACCGTCGTCTTCGTCATCTGACCCCTGTTCCACGACTGATCCTGGTCCACACAGGTTCACGTCATCGGCGGCTGTCCTCCCGAACAGCATCTCTCGACGCATGGCGTCCAGGAAGGAATCGTTATCAAAAGCATCCAACGTATCGAGATCTCCATCCGGCTCCTCCATCCACTCTGTACCATCCTGAATAGCACGCGCACGAGCAGGTAATTCTGTAGCCTCCGGAACAACATGCACACGACTTGATTGGTCAGCCGTAGCTTGGCCACCAGAAGCCACACCGTCTGGAGTATCCCGCTCACGAAGAGACGGCACTGGTGCAGCTTGAGCGACAGGGGGTACGGTATCAGGAGCGGTCCGCGCACGACGAGGTGGTGCTGGTGCAGCTTGGGCGGGGGGCACGGCGTCCGGAATAGTCTGCACACGAACAGCCAATTCTGTAGCATCCGGAACAGCGTTTTGGGGGCGGCTTGGAGTGGTTGGAAGCTCTGCTGTCGCTATCGGCTGCAGCCCAGCCTGCCTGGCGTAGTTCGTGAGCTCCTCAGTACCTGTACCAAAGCAAAATTCTGTAAAAAAAAAAAAAAAAAAACACATATACACACACACACACACACACAAATGCTAGGCCCATTTGTTTGACGCACCGACAAAGTAGTCGAAGCCTCTTCGCAGCGACTTCAGCCGCCCTGACACGCCTGGCTTGACGTATGCGTGGTCGTCACTAAGGCCGGAAGGTTTACGAGACTTCCAATTGTGGTGAAGCGCCAGTTGGCTTTCGTGAATAAGAAAACTGGTTGATG